TTCCTTTTTAAAAAGAGAGGGAAAGGAAAGGAAAGAGTGTGTGTGTGTATCAAAAGACATGTGAAAGTAGATTTGATTCATTCATTTAGTAACACATTTCTATTGAGTGCTTCTTGTCATTGGGCATTGTTCTTGTCACTGTGGATATAGAAGCAAACAAAACAGACAACTAGGTCCCTTCCATCATGAGGGGAAGGGGGGAACACATATAAAACTGAAAAGTGACTCTGTAAGGAATGAAATGAGAGAAAGACTTTGTTAGGTGCTCAGAGAAAGCCTCACTCAGAGCTTACATTTGAGCTAAAATTATGATCACAAAACCATTCCTAACTTTATGAAGATCTAGGAAAATATTCTAGGTGGAGGGAATAGTAGTAAGTACAATAACCTTCAGATAGGAATGAACTTGGTGTGTTTAAAAAATAGAAGGCCAGCATGCCCGGAGCTTGAGAATAATGAGGAAGAAATAGTTCCAGATGAAGTTGGCGGGGGGGCGCGGAGTTGGAGGGGAAGACACGTCTCCCAGATGATTGTAGGCAATGTTAAGGATTTTGGATTTTGGATTTTGGATGTTATTCTGAATATAATGCTGGCGAAGTGGTTAAGCGCTTGGCTCATAACCGAAAGGTCATGGTTTGAACTCCTCAGCCAACTCCAACACAGAAAGACATGATAGTCTGCTTTGGTAAAGATTACAGCCTCAGAAATGCTCTGGGGCAGTTCTTCTCTATCCTGTAGGGTTGCTAGGAGTCATACTTGATTCAGCAGCAACAAGTAATGGGTACAGTGGAAGAGAAGAGCAATGTGATCTGAATCATGGATTAAAAAGTATCATCTGGAGAGTAGATTGTGGGAAGCAAGAGCAGAAACAGACCACTTTAGGGGTACTGCAGTGGTCCAGTTGAGAGATGATGATGGCTTGGACCAGGGTGGTGATGGCAGCAACCTGTTGTTACTAGGAATTTTCCAGACTTCTCTATACTCTTTCAAATGCAGTACTTAAGGTTAATCAGTTTTACATTTGAATTTAAATAAAATGGCATTAAAAAAATAATTTTACTGTGGTGAAATGCATATAACAAAAAATTGGAATTTTAACCATTTTTAAGTGTATAATTAGGTGACAAGATGAAACAACATTTTTTTTTTTAGTTGTGATTTAGGTGAAGATTTACAGAGCAAATTCACTTTCCATACAGCAGTTCATATATACTTTATCTCATGACATTGACCACAATTTACCACAATGCAACAGCTCCCCTCCCACTTCCTCTCCATAGTTACCTCTTCCCTGTGTCCATCTCTGCATGGTCTCCTACCCCCTGAGCTGTCTCCCTGTGCATAAGCAGTCCTTCTTTCTCCCATGATTGTTCTCTCCAAGGAAA